AGTTTGAGTTATATAGAAAAAATTCTTTTAATGTAGACTTCAAATATGTAAAAAGATTTTATGTTCTGGTATACTTAATAATTATAATCATTTTACAGAAAATTGCGATTATTTGGAGGAAACAAAATTTACTTGATAACATGTTAGAGGACGGATTTGCTACTATTATTCTACATACATTGTCTACTGTGACATTTTTCATACTCATATTAAATTTCTTTCGATACCTTGTAGGAGAGCCTCGTATTCATATTAGAGATGTTACCAAAGAGCATAATTGGAAATCTATTAGAAGGGAAACCAAGGTATATAAACATACAAGTATATATTTATTTTTATGTTTTATTTACTTTATTAACCCTTTGACAGTTTAGCCTTAGAGAGACTCTGGCATAAATATTTAAGTTTATCGTTGTATGTATGATTATCTTTAGTTTTCCTCGTTCAGGTTTCTGTTCTATTCTGTCTAATATCTAAAGGGAAAGAAGTGGTTTGGTTTTGAATTCAGTATGATGTTAATGTCGACTTTCAAATCAATCACATGAGACCTATTAGTATTACTGTTTGTGAGTTCACCAGTTTCAAACGGTACATTTTATTCTTTATACATAGTTGTATTTTTATTGTTCAAAATGAATAGTGATAAATCTGTGATCATTAGTGATAGTTCTAATAGTGATTCAAACAAGTTGTTGAATAGCGATATCTGTTCAGCTTTATTATATAATGAAGAATCTAATCAAGAGCCTGCAATTGATAATGATTTCTATTATAATCTAAGAAGGTATTTCTTAAATATGCCTTTTTACATTTTTTATTATGAATGAAAGTACTTTAAAACAAAATAAATGTATATTTTTTTAACGCAATTCGTAATTTTAGTAGACTGACAAAGGGTTAATACATTATACATACTTATTTATATGCTTTTTAATGTCATTAACATCTTTTTTAACTTTAGTATTATCAAAAGTAGTAAATGCTACTTTACATATCATCATTAAACTTTGTACTATTTGCTCGTTATTCTCATTTAAACATTAATTATTTATCATGCATATGTACATTGATTGTTTATATATTTTACCTTTCTATAAAATAATTTAATTTCAATATATCTGAATTGCATTTAAATCAAATTAAATTATGTAATTCATTTAATATTTAAGATTTATGAATATAAACTGTCTTCTTAAAATAGATTTCAGTGATACACTAATGCTATAATCTTGCATTCATGTGTTATTAAATGCCTCAAAAATTAAATACAATATTCAGTACAATGTAAAGCAAGGCTATTTGTTGAGAATACCTAACTTATACCTAAAAGCAAAAAATTGTAAAATCATTTGTATATAAGACAAGAAAATTATGCAATAGTCATTACTTTATTGCTATTTGAAACAAATGTCAGATGATACCCATGTTTGAAATTTATTTTAAATAGCAGATTTAGAATATCAAGTATACTTTTTTCATTTATGAAACTGGTGTCATGTAACTGGTGGTACAAGCAGGAAGGTAGTGGTTCTACATGAAAAACTAAATCCAAAATATAGAATAAAATTTTTTTCGTACGAGGATTTGTTTCTGAGAAAATTGAATTTAAAGATTCGCTACAAACTTTTGCTTCTACTCATACTTTTATGTTGACAACAGTGATAATGTCACATTTTGCAAAGAAATAGTATACACAGAAGATACTGTAAGTCTGCAGCTAAAAGAAGCAGTATAGGCTTTCCATGACTCTCCAGTTCAAAGAGCAAGAATTGGTATGTGTTAAGGTGGACATCACTTTGAACAGTTCATTCAGTAATGTAAATTTAAATTAAGAAAGTCGTTAATAAATGTATTGTCAATACTTATCAAGACATTGGTATCATTTATAATACAAGTATAAAGCCGAGAGATAGTTAACTGCACGCGCATTTAGCAAATTTTTAAATTCAAGTTTTTTTTTAAATTAAATCTTTTATGAAAAAATTTTATTCTATATTTTTGATTTAGTTTTTTATATAGAATTACTACCTTTTCACTTGTACAATCAGTTACATGACATCCTTTATATAAGTATCTGAAAGCTAAAAGTATTGCTTTTTCTGTAGGCATATTACTGTAGCATTTGTGAAAGCTTGTTATTAAATATTAGTGGTTTGATCTGTGATTCATGTGGTGTTTGCGCGGATCCTACGTGTGTTAAGGTTGCAGATAAACAATTAAAGTGCAAAGTTATTACTCTAAGTACAAACGAGCCAATGAAACATCATTGGATAAGAGGTATGTCTCATTCC